GACAATATTTATTAGCGGTGGGCTTGAGCTGTTACAAATGGTATCAGAGTTAGGTTCCGGGCGATGTACCAGCAAGGACGTTGTACCCCGAAAGAGGGTGGATTGGAGGGCCCCACATCAATTGTAGAAGGGAACAAGTGTCAGCAGGGACGTTGGGCCCCGAAGGGGAGTGGATTGTAAGATCCCACATCAGTTGGGGAGAAGAACGAAACATTCTTTATGAGGGTGTGGAAACCTCTCCCTAGTAGACATGTTTTAAAAACCTTGAGGAGAAGTTCGAAAGGGAAAGCCCAAAAAAGACAATATCTACTAGCGGTGGACTTGGGCCGTTACAGAACTAATTCTCAATGTCCCTTGGTTAGATCAAAAGACAATTCGTATCACAATCCTAGGGGTTCAAAAAGATAACTAGGGGTTCAAATAACGTTCCCAATTTCCAAAATTCAAGGGTTTTCATATCACAATCCCTACAACACACGCTCCAAAAACTATGGGTAGACATCAAATTCATGGCCAAGCATTGGAATAGACAGATATTGATCATATTCTAGATTTCCCTTTCTCTTTGGATAATAGGGGCGTTAGTGTCATCCTTTTTTCAGAAGACGATTGAGTGCCCCGTCTTTTGTTCCGTTCTCAAGTCCCTAAACTTATGAAGTCTCATTTCTGTAGTAGACCAATTTGTTAACATCCCTAAAGCCATTTTTTATCAACATAACGACATCAAGCTCTTGTTGCAGCCCAAGCTACTGAATCCAATGCTTTAATTTTGGTACCAACAAATTAAGAATGGTTTGTCCCTACTTGATCGTTCGTTATGTTCATGGCCTACCCCACCAATCCTACAAATCCAAAAGGGTCCATGAAGCCAGCTCCAAAAGACCACAAAGATCATAACACACAAAAGTTTCTATATGAGGCTTAAATATCTCACATCCAAATCACTTGGTAACACATGCATCAGACTATGTTCATACTTTTCAGCATCAATAAAGCAAATAGCGTTACAGAGTAGCTGAATTACCTGTACAGAGGCGTCTCCTTAATCAGAAATTTCAAACAGCCAAGTGTTGTAGGTATACTGCCATTTCATACTCATATCAGCAGTGGCCTTTGCAACAACTATATTGACACCCGTATCGCCGATCCGAATATGCGAGGATTCGACCTCGATGCTGCCGATGATTATGTCGGAAAGAACGATATGAACTTTGCCAATAAGAGCGATATTGACAGTCTTCTCAATATCGGGGAAACGAAGTGGAATGATGGTGGAAACTGCCTTGTCGATCAAGAAATCCTTGATGAAGTTAAGACCCTTTTGGGATATGACCATCGAAATGAAACCCTCTCCGCTGGAATTGAGATGGGAAGAGGTAGAAGCTACTAAAAGCAAGAACACTATGAACTTCAAAGCGGAACCCATATCGCGGAGAAGATGATTGTTCTCTCTGATTTGGAGTGAACTGCGGGAATTTGAAGTTACCCAAATGAAAATGTTGAGTGAAGATACAGAAATTTTAAGAAATTCTGATTTTGGGGTTTCTCAAATCTAGCTCCTCTCTGCACAAAATTTAACAAACTTAATTTAGCTTTAAATCAATCTAGCTCAGCGGATGACCTCTCCTGCCTTTGTATCCCATACCCGGGGCCATCCAACCCTAATCAACAACTGCTGCCTTTGTATCCCATACCCAGAGCCATCCAACCCCTATCAAAACCCTAATAACAAGAGCGGCACATCCCCTGAGGTACTTCTCAAAAAAATTCACACGTTAATCACACAACTACGTTTTAGAGTGTGAAAGAGGACGAGTGCAACCCTCAAATTTTGCGGAGAAGTCAACAATTTAACTTTAAAAGTTGTATCGATAGGACGACGTCTAATTGCTATTTAAATTTTTAATTTTGTGAACCATGAGTCATTAAAAACGGAGTTTAAAGAACTCCTTATATACCTCACGCATAATTAAAAATTTAACATTTTATTAGACGTAAAATTATTCAAATCTTTTGAAAATCTGAATCTTCAACTTCAATTCTTTTTGACGACAATATCAAATAGACATGCGGTCACGTTTCTTAGTTCATCCAGACAAATTCCAGAAATTCATGAACTAAACCAAGATATATACACACATATACATACATATATATACACATATACATACATATATACACACATACACATATATACACACATATACATACATACATACATATATATATATATATAGCAGAAAGCAATCGAAACTATTGAAACAGTTCAAAGAGAGAAGAGAATGGAGTGGGAAGATGGACTCAAAAGAGAGCAATCCATGAAGAATTTGGGTTCTGACTAAAATTTTGTCCCAAGTGGCAACAGAACCATATATTTTTGTTCTTTTTTTTCTTCTATAATTCAGACATCTCCCTCTCACAGAGTTCCCAAGATCAATGTCAACAAACTTATCCTTACCCCATGGAATACTGAGAGCACCTCCTTTTGGAAGACCCCATCATCATCATCATCATCATCAGGAGGCATCATTTGTTTGGAGGAATCTGCATTTTACATGACAATTTCTAATGCACTCATTACATGTAAACACATCAACAACAAATAACGGGTAAACCAGGAAACTAAACTCAAGCATCCTAAGTGATCACAGCTTTTTGCTGCTTAAGGAATATCCTTGTCCAATGGCATTGATTCCCATGGTTTCGTGAAACCGTCTGCACCATGCGACTGCAGAATTTGTCTATCGTTTTATCGGTTTGGAACATACACGAAATGATGAGCATTTATCTTCTTTGGTTGGATTTCAGAGGAAGTAATCTGGAGCGGGTTTCTTGGCTGGATTTCCTCTTGAATCCTGCAACGTATAAACAATCCAACACAATGTATGGTAATATCAACAAATGCAGAAAGATAAATTTCTCCAATTTCTATGGAAGTACTAAGTTCGGTAAAGAATAAGCAAAGAGTTTGTTTTCAATGTTAATTTTATAACAGTGGTTGAGTGACGCAAACTTGGCTAATGGTTATTAGCATTCAAATACTTATTTTGTAACAGGGTGTTGACATTACTTGCATTATGGGCGCACACCACTAACCTATGAGAAAAGGCTTATTCCACCCACTAAAGGAACGTTTGGGGCAAGGCGTTGTTTAGTTTGAGTTATTTAACCCTTGTTCCAGAGGTGCTGGCAGAGAAAAAGAAGAAAGGGAAAGAGAGAAAAAAAAGAAGAAAAAAAAGAAGAGAGAGAGGAAGAAGAAGAGAAACTTAAAGGAGAGATTTCCACACCCTTATAAAGAATGTTTCGATCTCTTCCCCAACCGATGTGGGATCTCACAATCTACCCCCCTTCGGACCCCAGCGTCCTTGCTGACACTCGTTCTCTTCTCCAACCGATGTGAGACCCCCAATCCACCCCCTTCGAGGCTCAGCCTCCTTGCTGGTATATCGCTCGGTGTCTGGTTCTAATACTATTTGTACGGCCCAAGCCCACCGCTAGCAGTCCTCTTTGGGTCTTCCCTTACGGGCTTCCCCTCAAGGTTTTTAAAACTTGTCTGCTAGGGAGAGGTTACCACACCTTTATAAATAATGTTTCGTTCTCCTCCCCAACCGATGTGGGATCTCACACATCTCCACCCTTAACCTTTCTCATTGCAAGCGAAACTGACGAGAATGCAAGTATAGGCATCCAATGAAAAGTGCATTACAAGTTACAACCCAATGACTATAAAACAAAAATGTCCAGGGGGTTGCATGGAAAAACTTTTTGGACCAAGGGTTGTGCATGGAAAGGTAATCCTGTATTACTCGGACTATATAACATTTGATACACAGCAACTATTGTGTACTCGAAAGGCGAGGTTCAGATATAATAAAAATCTTGACCATACCTGTGGAGCAGCATCAAAGACACAAAACTGTTTATTAAGGTTCTCATCCAGTTGAAGTATGGCAGCTACATTACCACATCTGAAACAGAATGAAGACTGTTATGAACCATTAGATTAGCACAAAATTGAGACGAAGTCGTTGAGGATAATGTACCTGTAACAATAATTAGGAGCAGACCAGACTGTAACTATCTGATTATTAAACATCCATTTGTATCCTTCCATTACCAACTGATGAGCTCGACAAATATAATCAATGTTATTCGTGTGGTTAAAAGAAGTAACTACGCTGCCACCAAACAGGAAACCGGCACCTCGAGGACTCAAACCCCAACCATCTACAATGTCTTCAGGATCAGACCACAGTAGGTCACACATGGCACCGTCATGAGGTACTTCTTGCTTTCGATCAATTATTCTAATCTGGATATAAATAAATGGCAGTATGCGGAGGACTGAGTTCAACCTTACATATATATATATATATATAAGAACGAGTGAGAGCAAGGAAGGATTCTAACCTGATCTAGTGTTGTCATGGCAGGAGAGAGACCACCATGGACGCTAAATATCTTGTTTTCAATAAGAGCCGAGAGACTGATGGATTCAGAAAGAAACAAATAAGCAATATAGGGGTCTTGACTAGTACTGCATTCATTAACTTTTTTTACACGCAATTCACCAACTCGCCAAACTAATTTCTTGTGGATTATATATAGATTCATGACTTCCAATTCATTTCCTCATACACTAAACAGTAACATGCCCTGTTTTATTCTCTCCCTCTCTCTGTGATAAATGATTAAATCTGAAATTTGCAAACCTCAAGTAATCAAAAATATCGGTACAGTATCTCCAAACATTCACAGAGCCATATTTGCGAAGGCACTCGTCATAAAATCCGTAAACCTGTAAAGAGAAAACAGAATATTAACCAAAAAAAAGTGTTTATCTAGGACAGTAAGATCAAGAAACTTAACCTGTGTGATTTGACGGCTTTCATGGTTCCCCCTGATGAGAGTTATCCGATCTGGATATCTCACCTGAAATAAAAAATAGTTCACTTTAGTTAGGCTAAAAACTAAAATAAATAGGGTGCGCTTTATGGACGAAAATACCATGCATGATATCATATTTTTATCTACAAACTGGTATTTGACATAAACCCCTTATCCGTATATGTTAAACAAGGAAGCCTGTAGACTGTTCCCAACCCTGTAAGAGGAGATGCCAACCAACTCTCCTTTAATCAAACACGTCATAAATATTTTATAAAGTAAATTGTTTGTAATACTAATACTGGCTTCTGGTCTTATTAAGTCACACCTAGTCCGAACACAGATGTTTCAGTGTCAGTAGCAATATAAAATCTGATGTTTTCCTTCAAAGGAAAATATCTGATCATAGCCACCAAAATCAATAAGGTGTGTTAGCGTGCTTTAAGAAAAGTCTTCAGGGATTGCAACCACATCATGTTTCATTATTCATTCTGATATAAGTTAGTAATGATATATAATGGAGGCCAAGGTTGATTCTTTCACTGCTGTGCATTGGGCTTCAAACAGCACCACTAACTAGCAATCCAAATAAACTCGTCCAATCGTTTGACATGCTTGGGGCAGTAGATCTGGGCTACTTTGCAGGAGCTTCCTGTTAAATGCCAGTCCATAGAAGCCAGTTTCCTGGCCACCCTTTGACAAATTGCAAAAAGAAATAGGCATTTTCTATCCCTAGTTTGAGTTGCCACTACCGATGTAAGTTCGGAACATCCCTCTTATTATAAAAAAAAAAAAAAAAAAAAAAAAAAAAAAAAAAAAAAAAAAAAAAAAAAA